GAGTTAAATATGGATGGAACACCTTGGTTGTGGTTCTGCTCATTCATTCCTGGACAAATGTTGACAGAAGGTTTCTGCTCAAGTCTAAGGTGTTTACAATATAGGGTTCTTTTATGTCCCCATATTTAATATTTACACAAAATTATTAAGTGAGGTCTTTTGGAGATTTGAACTGAAGAAGTGAGCTGATGACAATATCTCAGTCTTTCCTTTCTGTCATAAGGGGAAATGCTTAATCAGTACATGGCCATACTAATGGACTGATGATGGCCAACAAACTGTCATTTAATCAGGACAAAATAAAGGTGCTGTTAGTGGATGATTTATCTACCAATGTGGGTAGTGTTCAACTTTCTTTTGTTTTTGGAAATGGATACGATTTCCTCTAAAGAATTAAGTTTGCACCTTGGAACAGTCTAAATTCATCTTTGTCAGTATAAGTATCAGTGTCCTCTGTAATATTAAGCACCTTTTACAAGCGTAGGTTGACAGATCTACCTAGTCCTATCTAGATAAATATAATCTTGTTACAGTAATGCATGATGTATTTCTTGAGTTATATGTGTGACTGTACTAGAGAAGAATTTGGAAAGTATAAAATGATAGTATTGACTGAAATATGACATTATGAACTGCCAGTCTTTCCTGGTTCTTGATTTGTTTCTGGTCTCAGTTCAAGTTAGCATTAGTCTATAAAGCCTTTTGTGACTGAACTTGCGTCTTTTCAGTGGGAAGTTTTTTTTTAAATAAAGTTTTATGGAGTTTTAACAAAACAAATAAAACATCTTATTTGAGTACAGCATGGTTCCAGGTTATCACATTTCCATACAGACACAATTTCATATGCATATTCATCTTATATATTCAACTTCATATCTTATTACTCTTTTTCCAACTTCTCACTATTTCTCCCTTTACTTCTCTTAATTTTCTTTTATGATTATCTCATTTTCTTCTTATTTAATTGTATTTCTTTTACCTAAATTTCTATATCTTTTTATTCATTATACTTATGCTTTCGTCCGTCTTGTTTACAATTTCATTATGTTCTCTTCCAACATTCTTAAAAAGCAAAATTCCCTCTATGATTGCCAATCAGAGTGCAATACCTTTAAGTCTTATTGTTATTATCATATAAAATTTCATTAAACATTAAATTTATGCATTCTAAAATTATAAAATTCAAATTTCTAATATCTGTTTTATATCATGTAAATCTCATCATTCAGACTCTGCTTGGTACTTCCCCTTAAAAATGTAAAAAGAAAAATTCTAAAAACATAGCAAAAATATAAAATTTATATAAACATTAGTGAGCAAAATAGTTATTCAAACTCATTCTAGTACTGGTATGAGCCTTGTAAATCTTTCACGTTTCTTTTCAATATTTATCAATCTTTGAGAACAGTTGAAATATTTCCCTCCCTTCTTCATTATTACTTGACTGTTAATAAGCATACCATTGGATAATCATACAGTTTTATCTTATATGATATTTACTATTAATTAGCAAAATAATTATTCAAATTTATTCCTTATAAATCTTTCACATTTCTTTTCAATATTTTATCAATCTTTAGAAACAATTACAATGTTTCCCTCTCTTTTTATTATTTCATTAATTATAAATAAACATGCCATTACATAACAATACAGTTTTATCTCATAGATTATTTACTTATTTCATTTCTAACTCATTACAGTATTCTACTGTCACAACACTATCTTTTGTACCTTTGCAGAATCCTCACTTTTAACTTAATTTAGCCATTGTCTCTGTGTTTTCTAGCTGAGCAAATACCTTTAATCCTAGTACGTTTCCCCTTTTTCTTTATTTCTTGCTTTTGTCCCTCATGAATTCTTTCCCTTTTTATCTTTCCCCCCTTTTTCTCATCCCTTTTTAAATACCCTTCTCTCTCTAATTTTCCCTTCTGTGGTTTTCTTTTCTGCTTCTCCTTGCTATTATACTTCCTTTTCAGACTATTTTTCTTTTTTGCTGTTCCGTTTAATCTCAAACTTTTAACTCCTTTCCCCCTTTTCCCCCTTATTACCACACTTTGCATTATTTGATCATTGAAAATGGCTTCTTCTTTGTCCCGTCCTTCTTCTTGCTCTTGAAGCTTTTCCTTTTGCTTTTCATAGTTCAGGATCTCCATTTCAAGAAATTCAAATACGAAGCCAAAGGATCTTCCTCCCCTTTCTGCATCTTCTTTCTGCATCTTCTTTCATCTTCAATTCCTCCAGGAGTAATGCCATTTTAAACACTTTTGAATAACCACCTGATTGACTTTAACTAAAAACAGAAGAAGAAAGAAAAGACCAATGCCAAAGACTTTTTTTTATATCACCAAATGATCCCAGGCTGTTCCTTCTTGTTTCTTTCCTTTACTTTTCCTTTCCGTGGGTTACTGTATCTTTTAATAAGGTTTCAGTTACAATGTATCCTCGGGAGTCTTTTCAAAGTTTCGCTGTTAATCCTCTTTATTTTTCCAGGTGGCACTCTATTTTTCCATTATTCCAAGTTCCACCCTTTTGCCTCCACTCTTCTCTTTTTTAGGGCTTTAAAATGACCAAGGAAAAAATCTTTATTTTCTTTTTGACACTTAAATTTCAGCTTAAAGTTGCCTATTAGTGTCAAAGTAAATTAATATAGATTTCTTTCCATATCATTTGTAATCGTCAATATAAAGGTTAAAAAAGGGGTTTTAAACCTCCTTTTCTCTCTCCGCCGCTTAAAAGTCTTCTTTCAGAAGTATCTCTCTAAGTACTTTTAGATTCAGGGTACCTTGCTTAGATGTTCTCTGTTGTTCAGCCCGGTCTGTCCTGATTTCCTCTTTGTCTTCCTCCTGCATAATCTTATCCAGTTGGGTTCTTCTTTGAGGTGGCCATTTCTGACCACCGCTGCAACCGCTTTCGGGAAGGGGAGTTTAGACCAGCCAAGGAGGAGAGATGCGGCTCCACTCGGCTAGCAATCTCTCCCCTCTTCACCACCTCTACAGGGTGGCTTCAGCCCCAAATCCAAAGGATCGGGGTGCTCCAGCGGCGAGCACAGATCGAAACCACGCACGATCGCGGATTTCGGTCTGTCGCTGAAGAAACCCAAACTGGAAGAGGTATCAGTGGGAAGTTATTTTTGAGGGTGGGGGGGCAATGTCCTTCCAGGCAGGGAGAAGCCTGATACCAATTATGTTGGGTTTTTTTTTGTTTTTGATACTAGGTAAACATGTTTTTATTTAATAATCTTTTTATGTAATAATGCTTTTAATAATTGTTTAATATATTGATTTAAAATATATCTATTGTTATAAATAGTTTGATTATATGAAGTATGCTACTGTTTTCTGATTTTAGTATTATGCATTTTAATTACTGAATGTTCAGTTTGTTTAGAATTGTAATCTGTTTTAGAGCATCCTGGCTTAAATTGGGAAAACTTAGGGCTAAAAGTTTCATTTATTTTTTAAATTAAAATTAAAACCAGGAAAGAGGATGGTGCAATACTTTAAACTAGTGTTTCTTAACCTCAGCAACTTTAAGATATTTGAACTTCAACTATCAGAATTCCCCAGCCAGCATGTTGGCTGGGGAATTCTGAGAACTGAAGTCCACACATTAAAGTTGCTGAGATTGTGGAACATTGCTCTAAAAGTGTAAAATAAAATACCTTCATTTGTCTTCAAGCTGGAAATACTGATAATAATGAAATTAAGGTCAGAATCTTTCAAACTGGGGATGTTTCGTTCACCCCTGTTAACTATGATTTGGTAGGTAGTAGGACCAATTCACAAACACGTAACAAACAGCCTGAATGTAACAGGTCAGAATGAGCTGAAGTTGGATTGGATTCTCAGCTCCCATATAAAAACCTCAGCTGTAAAATATTGCTCAATATGTTATTTTATTTAATGTGTTATTCTTCATCAATTTCATATAATTTCTATTGATTTTTATAACAGTAAAGGGTGAATCTGAAAAAAAAAACCAGTAAAAAACTTTCTTTTATTTCTGAGATGGAATACCTGTTTCCCAATCATAATTTTTTAAATTTCTCCTATCATTTCCATGCAAATTCAACAGTCCTCTGTCATATTTACTTGAGTTCATTATCTCTTTCACTAAATACTATATCAAGCATTTTTGCATTTGTAAACCCTTACTAACATTTCAACTACATTAATCAATGTAGTATTATTGTACTATTAATGTTAACCCTTATTAACATTTGAACTACATCGATTGAATATAGTTTGATATATTAATATATTAATACATATATTAAATACATAGTTAATGTATTTAACATATATATTAAATACATAGTTAATGTTTATAGTATTTGTTCTATATGTTATTTATTAAAATTAAAAATGATTTTGTGTTAAAATATTTAATCTCCATATTATATGTATATGATATATTTTAAAATAAAAGGAAGGGGGAGATGAGCTGGTACTATAGGGGGTTCACCGATATTCTGTTACCCATGAATGATACTAATCAGGAGCCAGTCATTATCTCTTTAAGGTATTATTTAATATGGTGCTGCTTTAGATAATACATACATTAAAAAGTAAGCAAAATGTGAAATAGTAAGATAAAACATTACTACTCAGTATTCTAAAATATTTAGGAAAGAACAGGTGTAATAGATTTAGAATAATGATTGTTTTTCTTGTTGAAATACTAATATTTTGCAGATATATGGCTATAACTTCCTAACAAAATGATAAGTTGTTTTTTACGGCCAGAAATTACAAATGTCCATTTTTAACCTCTTTTTCTTCCTGGAAGGTCTCTCTATGGCTTGAGACCAGAGGCTATGACCATACTGCAGCTTGTAGTTTATACAAGATTGTAGGGCTGACACTCCAGCTGGCTGCATATAATTATAGTGATTGTAGTCTGACAATTGGAGTGTCACTATGGTAATGTGATCAATATTAAAAACAGCACTGCTAAGAGGAATCTCTTATAAATATATCTATTTTTATTCTTTACAGATATGACATCTGCACATATAAAAACAAGCCTTGTGGAACTCTGGGTAAGGTTCATAGTGTAAGCTAAATGAGTATTATTCTTTAAATGTTTCTATAGATAAGATGGCGTCCCTATATTTATCTGTTTATATAAGGATAGATTTCAAAATATATTTTACTTTCAAAAGGGAATTTTTAAATTTTATTATTTGTTATTTTCAATAGCTGAAGTACTTTAGTCTAGAACAGTATTTCTCAACCTCAGCAACTTTAAGATGACTAATGCTTTCAAAATTCCCCAGCCTGCAATGGTTGAGAAACACTGGTTTAGAAGTAATCAAAGCAACATTAAGGGGAAAAGGAAACTTATACTGCTTTCTTCATCATGAAGATTATCTGATATATTTCACATAATAGAAAATGAACCCTTAGGAAAGACAGTGAGAAATCAAAATGTAAATTGTAAAATTGTTGTTTTAGAACATATGAACAGCTGATGATTGCTGTGGTGTCAAACTTTCCCTAACCTGCTAGCATTCATAAAGTATTCAGAAAACTTGTATGCAGTGTACATTTAAGTCACTTTGCTCTGCTTTTAAATTATAATTTGCCACCCCTAATGACTGAATGATCCTGAAATTTCACTAATGTTTATATTCTTGTTTCACTGTTAAGTGAGCTTAAGTATATGTGGGCAAGATATCAAATCCAGTACCTGTCAATAGTGGTGTTCCCCAAGGCAGTGTTCTAGGACCAACTCTCTTCATACTCTACATAAACGACCTCTGTGATCATATTAAGAGCAATTGCGTTCTCTTCGCTGATGACGTAAAGCTGTTCAATACCACAGACAATACTGCTACCCTACAAAAAGATCTTGACTATGTATCCGAATGGTCAAACAAATGGCAACTTCAAATCTCAACAAATAAATGCTCTGTCTTACATATTGGCAAAAAAAATCAGAAAATAAAATACAAGCTGAATAGTCAAGATCTTGTTGATGACCCAAGCTCTGTAAAGGACCTTGGAATACTCACCTCTAATGATCTAAGTGCTAGAGCACACTGCAACTACATAGCCAAAAAGGCATTAAGAGTTGTTAACCTAATCCTACGTAGCTTTTTCTCTGGTAATATCACACTACTAACCAGAGCATACAAAACATTTGCTAGACCAATACTCGAATACAGTTCATCAGTCTGGAATCCACACTACGTATCTGATATTAGCACAATTGAGAAAGTCCAGAAATATTTCACAAGAAGAGTTCTCCACTCCTCTACTCGCTGTAGAATACCTTATGCCACCAGACTTGAAATTCTAGAACTAGAAAACCTTGAATTACGCCGTCTTCGGTCTGACTTAAGCATGGTATACAAAATCATACATTGCAATGTCCTACCTGTCAATGAATACTTCAGCTTCAACCATAACAACACAAGAGCACACAATAGATACAAACTCAAAGTAAACCGCACCAAACTTGATTGCAGGAAATACGACTTCAGCAATAGAGTGGTCAATGTCTGGAATACTCTACCCGACTCTGTAGTTTCTTCCCCAAACCCCAAAAACTTTAACCTTAGACTGTCTACTATTGACCTCACCCCTTTCCTAAGAGGTCTGTAGGGGGCGTGCATAAGCGCACCAACGTGCCTACCGTCCCTGTCCTATTGTTTCTCCTATTCTTTTATTTTTCTTATATGTAACCATTTCATGTATTCACAACTATGTATACATTTATACTTATTATCTTGTAAACAATTGGCAAATCAAATAAATAAATAAATAAATAAATAAAGATAAAATAATCTGTTCCTGGACAGATTTTTGTCTCTGTCTCTCCCCAATTCCTTACTTGGGAAGCCATGCCTGGCAAAATACCTGGGCCAGGTGGTGTGATCTGAATTTGAACTCCGCATTCAAACCTAAAATCTTTGTCCAGAATTTTCTAAGAGTCACTTAAATACATATGAAAAACCAGTTCCTTCTGGTATATGGAAAGGAGTTCACAAATTCAATCTCTGCATGATTCCACTATGTTCAGAGAGCTGCATTATTACTATCATCTGAGTGCAGGAGTTACATTCTTTCTCAGTTGATGATTAGGACATGAGTCCTCCACCTTCACAAAATTGTTATCCCTTCTCCTTGTCATTTGGAGCATGGGGCAACTAGTTTGCAAGTGGCAGGAATTCCCATATTGAAACTGGGTAGAAAAGGGAAGAGGAGTCTGCAGGCTTCAATAAAAACAGTGGGTCAGCAGTAGCGGCAATTGTACAAAGTCAGCAGAAAGAAGGTAATATTCTGCCAGATACATAAAAATGTTCCTTTGATTAACTCTTAAGTTTGGCACTGGAATATTATTTTGTTGATGACTTCATGCTGTGTTCCAGAGGCACCTGTCTTCCTATTTCATCTTGACGTAAGAATTCTATATTAAATCCCACTGTAATGAACCTAGGGATAAATTAAACTATACTTCATTCACAACAGCCAGGATTAATTTTTCATTTACTTCATCATTTACCAATGTTTAAACCATATATTAACAGACTTAAAGGATAACTATAAAATGTATATGCAACATTAAATAAATAAACTGCTTAGCATCACACCTTTACTATTCTGTTTCTTTGCACTGATAAGAGAGAGGGCAGAGCTTTATGTATGCATATACTGTTAAATGCTAGCTAATATGAGGTAGTTTGGTATATGAAAGATGAGAGTAGATCTTCTACCAGTTCCTGGTAGTAATATTAACTAACCGGATATTTCAAGAATTGGATTTCAAGAACCATGCATGTATGTATTTTTGGCAGTAGCATTTACTATATCAGCTTTTGTTCATTTAATGTTCTATTTCATTATCACAAGTAGTGACTGTTTATGCACACATTTAAAATTATATTATAGCATTTTCTTGTAAAATATTGTGCAGTATAAACTAATACAGATAAATAGATATGTTTATTACTTTGTTTGCCAGCAGAAATATTACACAAATCTATAGAGAAATCCTATTGAAATCCTATTGAATTTAATAGGATTTAGCTAAGTGTATAATACAGGTCACTGACTAAATACAGGTTATTACTGACTAAAATGTGCTACTTAACAAAATATGTGTGAATATTTCAGTTCTTAGTGCACATTTCACTTGTTTTGTATTATATTTGCTTTACATTTCATAATTCCACATTATCTGCTAATGCGGATTTCTTTAGTTATTTTTGATGGAGTCCATCAAATGGCTCGGATGAACTGCTGTTGCTGGGGTGGGGGGTGGGAGTTGGGGTGTGATTTTGTATTTATTTTCCCTCCAAATTTTGTTCTATTGTACTTTATTAATTTATTTGATTCTTTTTGTTGTTTTAATTGTTTTTTTGTTTTAAATATGGTTTTACATTCTGTAAGCCGCCTTGAGTCGCCATGGGCGAATAGGCGTCAATATAAATTCAATAAATAAATAAATAAATAAATTTTAAGGGCTTCTTATAATTCCTTGCAATCCATTAAGACATTGAATATGTTACATAATACTGCTGTCTAGCCAAGTTGCCTCATTTTATATTTGCATCCAATATTTTTGATATAAGGGTCACATTTTCTCATGCTATTGTATTTCATGCTATTGTCTTGATCCAAAATAGTTAACTGAATTTTGATTCCTTCTATGCTATTGACCATGTTATCTGGTTTTGATGAACAATCTGTCTATTATTTTATCTAGGTCACTAATAAAATCTCAACTTGGATAATACAATACAAGCAAGGCAAGAATTAATTAGTTATTCCTTTATCAGCAGAGTTTGTTTTCCATTCAATAGCAGAGAAAGTTCAATTAAGAGAAAGTCTGTATTATTTAACTTTTGCTGGATAGCCTTTAGTTTACTACAACAATAACATCTGGTTTTCAGTCCTAAATTTATCCAATGCTTTTTTTATTAGACATAATTTCTACGCAGTTGAGATTGTAACTAAATTGATGAGTGTCAGTATTTTGTCACATCATGAATATATGCTTATGGAAATCCAACAGCTCTTGAAATGAAATAGGTAGTCTAAAATTTTTTTTGTTTTGTACAAGCATATGCCTTCCTCTTGAGTTGCTGCTAAATCATTCCTTCCTATTCATTTGAGTCTAAGTATCTTCCTGTCCTGTTTCTCCCCTGAAAAGAGGATTTATGTTTGTTCTTTAATTTCAGACACACAAATGTCTCCTCTTGTTTGTGTGTGAAATATTTCTACTTCATTCTTCTTTGTTTTATTCCTCTTTCTTGCAAACTACTGGGGTTTACTGGCTCTCATTTAAAAGTGATATATCCCTCCTTCCTGATAATATAAAAGTTCAAAAATGTATCTCAAACCCTTTGTTTTGTAGCCAGAAGACGTACAAGATATCTGTTTTACAGATCAGTTGGTCCGCTTCCTCAGTGTATGTGTTAGAATTATAGGACTGGAAAAGTGCTTGATGGTCTTCTAATCCAACTCTCTGCCCAAAGCAGGAATCATCATGCCATCTTGGACAAATGGTTGTCCAATCTTTTTGAAAATCTCCTCCAATCGAGCATCCAAAGCTTCAGAATACAAGCTCTTCCACTGCTCCATAGTTTTCACTATCAGGAAATTCCTCCTTATTTCCAAGTTGGAGCACCCTCCAACACATTGCTTCTTGTCTTACATTCAGGTGCTATGGAGAATGAACCAATATCCTCATGCATGCAACCCTTCAAGTAGTAGATAATTGCTATAATGTCTCCCTCAGTCTTTAGTTTATTTAACTGTTCTTCATAAAATTTAGCTTCCAGACCTCTTACCATTGTTGCTGTGGTGAAATCTCCAACTAGACTGGGAGGAGGGATCAAGAGGGAGCTAAGTTTAGAGTCATTGTACTGCACTAAGTAGTAAGAATTAGAATCCTTGAAACCTTAACTTGCCGTTCCTGAGGGAATGCAACCACTCTGGCGATATTTTTGTAACCTAGTTGACTAGCAATAAGCTACTGTTGAGACTCTTCATGAGTGGTTTTGTTTGCTTTTGCCTGACAGTTTGCCTGACACTTCTCTACACTCTTTCTGAGGCCCTTTTGGTATTTGTATGACCAGAACTGGATTCAGTATTCCAAATGCAGCTAAAATAGTGCAGTACAGAGTGGTGCTATCAGTCCCCTTGATCTCCCTGTTGATGCAGCATAGGACTGATTGACTTTAGATGATACTGAATCTTGATGCATTGAATTCTTCATCTTCCCTGCCTAATTTCTATATATAATTGTTCAAACCAAGAATCAAGTAACTTTTCACACAGCCTTTCTAGTCTAACTATATCTGCCAACTCTGATGACATCTCCCACATTATAGCAACAAGTGAAATCAGGAGACTTACAGCATACTGCAGCAGTCTTTAGTAGAACCAAAGCGTTAGTGTAGTTTTAAAAAAGTACATCATGGGGTTTTTAAAAACTTATTCCATGTATTTTATGGTTTCTGGAATTTTTGTACTATGAAAAACAGCGGGATAATACTGCATAAATGATGGCCTGGGAATTAGACAGGATCACCACCTAGAGTTGGAAGCTTTTCCATGGCATTGAACAGGAATTCGACTCCTAATTGCCAAAGATGTCCCTCTGTGAAAGAAAAATTACATATTCTAAGAAAAAAAAAATCAGAGTCCCAAGAGAAAAAGTACATAAAGCAAAAAGAGGGAAGAAATAGAATAACAGTTACAGTGGCAAAGTTCAGAACTTTGCAGCGCAGCCCAAACAGAGAAAAAAATAGACCTAAGAGGAAAGATAAAACAATAGTCTGAACAAAGTGGTTTAAAACTGATCATTTGTTGGGTTTGTTGGGGTTTTTTTAAGCATGATTATAGGAATTATTCTAGTCCTCAGCTATAAATGTGAATTGTGTTCATTATATTCTAAAAATGTTAACAATATTATTTGTTCTGTAGAAGCAAAAGGCATCAGTACATACTTTTGTCACAATGGGTAGAATTTAGAAAACGGAATGCTATCATGTTGTTATCTTTAAAATTACTGGAAGGAAAACATGATTGTACCCTTTTTCTATCAGAAATTACAGTTGGTTGAAAATAATTTCCATCTACTTTAGCAAAGCTTGTTTTGATTACTTTTATTTTGCTCTACTCAGGAGCCAGTAACTGTTATGTAAACTAAACATATACTTGAAGATAAAACATCAGACTACCATCATTTCTTGTCCATACCTAATTGCCTGGAAGCTAATAGAAATTATCTATACATATAAAATTCTTAAAAACACCCAAAATTAGGTCAGCTACAGATAATAATGCCATACATGTATCCAGTTAACAGCTTTTTGCATACTGTAATTATAATCAAGATAACTAAGGGGTTAGAAATGGCTAGCAGAGAGGATATATGTATGGTTGAGGTAAAAATATTTTCTAACTTGTTTTATACCAGTTATTCTCAGACTAGGTATTTCTTGGTATTTTATATACCATAGCTTCTATAACTGAGCATGCTAGTTGAAGCAGATAGGAGACAGAGTGCAGAATATCTGGGGAGATCAGTTGGAATCCTGAATTATAATAATCTGCCTTGAGGGCAGAAAAGATATAAAGCTAAAGTGAAGCCATGAAATACTTGCGATTTATTCTTATAGAAAAGAGGAGTCCAAAATTATTTTTATTTCTTTTTTTCCTTTTCAAACACAATTGAGTTCTAAAAGTATTCTTTTTATACTTTTCTGTAACAATATTTTTGCAGCATACATATCCTTAGGGATGTACATTAATGTTTTTTCCAGATAAGCATACAGTATTCTGAGAAATGTATCACTAAGGCTGCAAAAGATCCATTATCAGTAGTGATAATTGATTAGTCCTGCATTAAAGTATATCATGTACAGTACTCCATATGTAAATATCTGAAGCTTTTCATTCATTTTACATTTTTAAAGGCACGTGTTTCATGCTGTAATAAAAGAAAAACATGATAGTGAATACAAATTAATGTTTCTTTCTCTTCAATTGATGTACTGAGGGTTATTTTTCTCTCATAAAATTTCTCTAGAATATACCTCTTGGGGATTTTGGGGTAGCTAAAATGTTACTTGTATGTTTTATGAACCCACTAAACTTAAAACCATTCTTTTTGGAAAAGTAACATAGACACATTTTGCTTTCTGCAACCTCAAAAATGTTAAAATAGAAATGCTTGCTTGAATTCCCTCTCTTGGCTCAAGTTACTAGGTGGTCCCAAGTTACCAGAAGTAAAATTTATAAATCTAACCCCTAGTCTAGACATTTTCCAGCAATGACTGCAGTTCAAAAAATATTAATGTCTAGCTGGCAAAGTGAAGTTCCCCCCAGTGATTTTGTAAGGACTAAAAAGTTAACCTTTTGCCAACTGCTGCTTTTAGGCATGGAGGTTATTAAAAAGAATCGAGGCATTTATAACTAAGGCTTTTAAAGACTGAAACACGTTGGCATGACCTTTTGTGTCTCCCTTTGTTTGTTCAGGCTTGGCCTCTGTTGCTGGAATGTGTGAGCCTGAAAGGAGCTGTAGTATTAATGAAGACATTGGCCTTGGCTCTGCTTTTACCATAGCCCATGAAATTGGTCACAAGTGCGTATATTTTTAAACTTTCAATACATTTAGTTTAATTATCTTAATTTGCACTCTTATCTTGGCTGCCTTTTCTGTTTCCTGATTATTTTTGTTGTTTGATTTCATCAACCATTTGATCTTGAAAGAGTTATTACTGCAGCACACATATATCATTGATGTGAAATTGCTTCTAGTTGTGTCAGTTTAGCATAAAATCACTGTTACAGTATAATAGCACAAAGTAAATCATATAAGCATGGAGTAATACTATGCAACTATGCTGTAAAATACATGTACAACTATGCTGTAAAAACAGTAGAGTTCAGGATATATGTTTTGAGACTGAACTCAAAAATTGTTGCTTACTTTTTCATTTCAGAATGAGATTATAAGTATATAGTTTATAACACAGAGTTTCAATTGGAAACACATTGAAAACTGCTTTAACCATGTTTAATTTACATGATTTAATCACATTATTTTTAACTGATCATTTTCACTGTTGGTCCTCACTGTTGCAATACCAGGATCTCCTAAAAATGAATGAAACTAAAGTTTACAAATAAATAGACCACTTATAGTAAAATTTAATAAATATCATTGGACTTTTTGAATGTTGATGCTCTCTATTTATTGTAGACATGTGCAGTCAAAATGAACAGAGCTTAGATGAAGTTTTGATAGTACTCACCCTTGATCTGCACAAACCTGATTAGATGTTTCAATTCACTTGAAACTTCCTGCTAGCACAGTCATATTACCAATATTATCAATGAGTAATGTGTAGGTAGGGGATGTCAAAATATGTCCTGTAACAGAATGACCTTAACCATGTGATACACTAATCTAATCCAAAATGAAACCCAATGCAAATAATGCAAGTGCAAAGTGTTAATTTTGTCATTATCTTTGTCATTATGGTTTGTACCAGATGCTTAATCTGGGAGGGCATGATCCATAGTTTGAGAATTCTGTTGCAAGTTCATTTTGATCAGTCCAGACATGGGATTTACTGTTGCTAGTATTTGATGCCAACATCTTGCTAATACCTAAAATTCAGGAACAAAGAAGCAATGGCTTTTAAGAAATCTGTATGTTGCCATATATAAAACATACAGCTTGCTAACTACACAGAAAATAAAATAAAGAGAAAGCTTGCAGTTTTTAGGTCAGCAAAGATAGTTTAATTTTAGCTAATGTTTTAGGAAGAAAAGTCAACTGAAGCCAAATTTTGTGACATTATTTTTTTACACTTTAGAAGTCATCTTGGCATAAAGAAACAAGTCACTACAGCCATTCCTAGTAGCTTATTATTCTATTGTTACATTTAATACTAAAGGCAAAATGACAGTTATTATCTAATACACATTTAGAGAGGAATAAGTGTCATTGAATGACAGTTATAATCTAATACACATTTAGAGAGGAATAAGTGTAATTGAATTTAGTAGAATTAATTATACATGTAGAAATTACAATTGAAACTCATCTAGAGTATTCAGTTCTTTTTTCTGTGATATATATTAGAAATCTGTATCTCCATTTCTCTTTCCTCACTATTTTGATAAAAGTAATAAATCTCTATCATGTCTTTATTTTCTTCTTTTTACAAAGCTAAAAGGTATTACCATCTTTTAGATGATGAAACTAAATAGTTTTCAGGAGTTGTTGCAAACTGCTTCAGGGAATTATATGCTAGATGTCTTTCAAATTTGTAATGCATTTTATTTTAGGTCTTTATTTATTACAAGTAATTTGACATACAGTGTAAAGATTTCTTAAAATGTCAGAAGAACATATGCGGGACTGGGATAAGGAGGTATAATGAATAAAAATAGTATTTTTAATAGTTTTTTCTCTATACTGATAATTCATCTCAGAAAGTGCAAAGCAAGACTTTGATATCTGGTATTGAGAGCAAAGTTCAATTCCAATTCTATATCCTTTCAGTTCTGACATAAGGGAACATAAGTTGGTGCTGAAAAGGAACCATGAAGAGAGAGTGATAATGAAGAATTTCAAGTGGAAATCTTTATTGTGCACATTTCCCATGCATCATTATGGAATAGAATAGTTTTTCCAGTTTCAGATATGTTGAAGGTTGGAATTAATGTACTATTCTAAGGGAGCAACAACAACAAACCAAGAGAAGGAAAATGGAAAAGATGGGAGTTATAGCAGTGTGACAATAATAAATTGTTTGGAATTATTTCGAATCAGATAATCTAGCACAGAGATACATTTTAGTCTCTATTTTTGTCCTTCCTAATCTTTCCAATATATACATATGTATTTTATGGCTGGAAAAAGTATTTATTTTAATATATGGAGGATCTTTATTTAATGAATTTATGTCCCATATTTCTGTTTATTCCAACATTTTTGATAACTTACATAATACAGACTCTAATAATAACAAAATAATACAATTAAAATTAAAACAAGTAACAATTAGAAGCTTGATGAAAGACATACTTTCTTTTATTTATCTAAGAGCCAAACACAACTCCTTTAGGGAGAATATCTCATTACTAGAGAGACCCAAAGAATAAGACCCTTTCTCATATATATGATGGTCAAGCTTCTAAAAGAATGGACAAGACTGTTGCTCTAAGTTCCAGAGCATTTTCATAAATGAAGATGCAGTACCACAGGCTTTAAGTCATTTAGAATCATAAAACTAGCACCAATCCTTTTAACTGTATAAGACTAGCACCAATCCTTTTAACCAATTAAGCAATTGCTAGCTAGCGCAGATATTTTAATGTAACTCCTGTCTTACATTAGTCAGCAGTCTTCTGCATTTTTCACCAATTACAATTTGTAGACATTGTCAAAGGTGCATAAAGCACATTGTGGTAGCTGAAAAGACTGTGATCAAGACATGAGTGATTATCACTACATCTGACCAGGAAGGCTCACAGCATCTTAATCACAATAGTTAAAATATGCTCCTTGCCAGAGCTGCCATCTATAAATCCAATGGTAGCTTGTGGAAAAGTGCTCTTCCAATTCAAAAGAACATCTTCCTGGGGGAGAACCACTTATCCAGATCAAGCTTTACTTTAACCACAGAATTTGACGTTATACTTTATCCAGCCCATTATTGATATTCAAGGGTACTGATTGCCTTGACATTAGAAGGCAGAGAGCCCTAGATTTGGTATCCTCAGTATACTGGTGGCATCTATTCCAAAGACCAGAACTACTGCACGATGAGCTCAAATCACAGTTTTGCCAAAAAGCCCATGAGGTGACTATGGGCAATGGAAGTAAAAGCTGACAAGGAGAACTAGAAAAGTCATACTCCCATTTTACTTTCTGGTGTTTCAAGCCAAATGTTCAGCAATAAAACATAGTAGAAGGAAAGGATTTAACTATGGTTTCTATTACAAAACCATTGTTTTCTATGAAGTTTAAATTCAGCCAATTTTGAATAACACTTATGAGAGTGGAATAACCTGTAGCAGAAATATTTGTAACTTGATGATTAATGACTGTGTTAAAGTATCTCAAATATTAGAACAAGATGACAAATTGTTAAAGGAAGACATTCTTGGGTTATTTATATTGCTGTAGTCCAATTTACTTCAGTGCATCTGAAACAAAAGAAGAAATCAAATAATACATATGACATTCAATATACTGCCAGGCTAGCTTTTATTTTTTAAAAAAAGTTAAAGTCAAGTGTTTTGGAAGCCAATATGCATTTGGGACTGTTATGTCTGGGAATGCAATCTTGAAAAATTTCCCTTCATTCAGCAAATAGCAGTAAAAAATACATACTCACGTTTTTGTTAGAACTGATGAGTATTTTCCCGCTACCTTTTCTAGTGGATGAGACTATTTTTCTACATTTAAAAAAAGAAAGGTACTTCTGAATAATTTCAAATGATATATATTGTTTCAATTAGTATGAAATATTATCTAGTTTTTTAAAAAACTTCTTTTAACCACTTTATATCTCTTGATTTGTTTTATCCTTATGTGAAGGTTCTAAAATGGTAATCTTCATTGGCACTAAATCAGATAGGATTATGCTGTAAATGTAGTGAAATTTGTACAGTGAAATGAACTATATAGACATGCTAATAATTTTGTGCTAATAATTCTCATATGTAATTTATAGATGGTCCTTTATTTACTTCTCGTTCTCTCAAAACATTTTTCAGTATTCAGTTGATATGAAATTTTATACTGTATTGTTACATTTGCTGTTTCATATAAAAATATAGTTTCTCTTCCCTTCTTTCTGATAGTTTTGGTATGAACCATGATGGAATTGGAAATTCTTGTGGGACCAAAGGTCATGAAGCAGCAAAACTTATGGCAGCTCACATTACAGCAAACACCAACCCCTTCTCATGGTCAACCTGCAGCAGGGATTATATCACCAGTTTTTTAGAGTAAGTATTCTCTCATAGCAATTATACATTTGGAGGAGGGGAATTCACCCATATTTATACCGTGCTAGTGGGAATAACAATGCTAGGCAATGTGTAGTCATAAGCCCCAATCCAGAAAAGTATGCAGAGTGGATGATCAGCACTGTCAAGATTTGCTCATACTATTTAGCTGTACAAAATCAGAAAATAGAATGGAGTAGAAAACAGGAATCACTACAAGATATCATTTAGGATAAACATATTAAATGTTAATACTGACAGTGCTACCCATCATAATGCAAGAACTCCATCTTCAGGTCTTGGATGTCATTGTACTTTTATTCTGCCCTCACTATATATAGACATCATATGTCATGTTGTGAAACACTTGTTTTGCCTCTTTATTTAACATGGTTACTTCATTCATATGATTAAATGACATTTGACTTTAGCGTTTTATATGATCATTATTATTTGACAGAGCAAATATGTGTAGTGTCTTCTCTTCTGTAAGGTTTGATAAAGGATGCATGTGGAGAAAATTTTAGTAAAATTTGTTTCTAATTTAGCATTGATTTTGGGGACAGAATTGAATTTATTAATAGAATAGAAAAGGTGTTGTGTACTTTGAGATAAGTATCCCAAATTACATCATTAGAAAATATAATTTTTCCTTAAACATTTATTATTAATAAATGTTTAATAAAGTAATAAAAGAAAACAGACGGAAGAGAAGGCTGAAGGAGGCAGGGCAGACAGGAAAGCATGAAATAGAGCTGAAGACAACATAGTGAGAAAAACAGAAAAGAACACCCAGGAACTCATTTTTTTTTTTAAAAAAAAATGGCTAGGTATGTTTTGCCCTTCGGTAATAATAGAAATTAATTAAATGATAAATTTATATCTATTTTAGATCCTTTTTATAGACCACTAGGGATTTATGATTCTTTAATAATAGTAGCAACAAAATGTAACTTTCCCCTACTTGCTATAACTTATGTTATTGTAAAGAAAATCCTTTTGGGCGTGGAATACCATTAGTTTCATTTAGTCTTGCTAGCTAACAAAATATTCCCTGGCTCCAATTTCTGTAACTCAAAGTAGATTGTTGTATCAGATCCCTGGTTAGTTGAGTAATATGTTATATGTGTACTTGAACCCGGTTTATCACTACTTCTTCGTTTTTACCTTTTGCAGTCAAATAAATTTACCTGAAAGAATTATTGTAGAATTGTTATATTCCAACAGAAGAGAATATTTAATAGGTCCAATAAGTTGAACTGAGAAGTCCTTGGTGTTCTCTAAGCTTGGTTATTTGCTTACAGAGATTTCATTACCTAACATCTTATATTACCTAGTTGGGTAATGAGACATCTGCAAATGTTAGATTATTTGAAGACCTAATTATAATGGTTAGTTTTGTTTATTATTCATTTCTGTTATATATGATTTATAGGTTGAGAACTATTCTTATTTCCATTCATGTTATTATGGCAAGATTTTGGGGTCAGATGGATGATTGTCAATCATTCAGAACTTCCTTAATTACTTTGTACATTATGTGTATTTGATTGTGGCCACAAGATGTTTCTGCATAAATATATGGATAAAATGTTTCTCTTTAAGGGTTTAGTTTTGAGCCTCAAATGAAATAGTTTTCTAACTGAGTTATGTAGAAAAATATCTGCATTCTTCAAAAAGATTTGTTCCTATATGTATTTTATCCCATTTATGCTTAAAATGGTCTTTAAAATGTAAGTTCACAAAATAAACCTTCATTTAACTAGAGCTAATAAGTAGGAATTATGTCAGTCATCTATTGAGCTCATCTACATGCTGAGTAATTTTACCTAATTAACTACTATAAATATACACATGAATAACTCTTGAAGTTACTCAAATGTTCACAAAAGTAATGTTAACATTGAAAGTTTTTTAAAAGTATTAATCTGCACCTATGAATGAATTTTAAACACTTCTTTTCTTAGCGTGCATAAAGTTTGGAGGAAATGTGGAATTTAAGTTAGGGTTCAAAGTTTGATCATGAATTCACTGATGGTTTTCAACAAATAAATTTTATTTGACATTATCTACAAAGAGAAAAAATCCTGTGAACTATCCCAAAGGTACTTTTTCAAGAGGCAACTGGACTTTCCAGTTTTCCTTTGAAGACGTTTTGCTTCACATCCAAGAAGCTTCTTCAGCTCTGACTGGATGATGGGAATTCCACCCACTCACTGGTATAGGTATGTGGATGATACTTGGGTCAAGATCAAAACATAGGAATTGGAAGCATCCACCAAACTTATCAATTCTGTGAACAGATACATCAAATTCACACAGAAAGATGTTAAGGAAAATATTCTTGCCTTCCTGGAGTGTGAGGTACACATTAAGTAAGACTGAAGTCTTAACATTGACATTTAGAGAAAACCCACTTACAGAGATCAATATTTACATTTTGATTCCCACCACCTACTGGAACACAAAATAGGAGTCATCAGAACTCTACATCACCAAACTGAAAACTTGCCTACCAGCAAAGATGAAACAGAACAAAAACATATCAAGGAAGCCCTCAGAACATGTGGAAATTCCAAGTGGGCTTCATCAAATCTCAAGACCCTACAGGAGTTCCTCCATACAGATAATGTAGTCATTCCATATGTTTCAGGTATATTGAAAAAGCTCAGGAGAATTTTCAGCCAACATAACATACGTGAACACTTCAAACCCAAGAATTCACTAAAGCAGAAGCTTGTCCATCCCAAAGATAAAATATCCAGACAAAAAACTGAGCAATGTGGTATGTGCAGTACAATGCAGTGAACCATGTGTAGATGGCTTCATCACTTCATAAGCGCATGGCATAACATAGGAAAACAAACACATCGGGACTAGATTCAGCTCTCTATCTCCACTTTTTTGAAGACAGTAAAGTCCACATTTTGGACAGTGAGGACTGCTGGTTTGAAAGAGGGGTCAAAGAGGCTATCTAAGTCAAAATTGAACAGATCTCTTTCTTCAGAGGGGGAGGGATATGGTATCATCTATCTCAGTCTTTTCAACAGTTCCAAGAAGGCTCCCCACACATTTGCACCACTCAAGTGACCCTGATGGCACAGATAAACCTCCAGGTGACCTTAACAACTCACTAAAAGAATGCAAATGACCAGCTGTCTGCAAGGAGTATAAATCCTTCCATTCCCCTCTATCCAGTCAGAACTGAAGAAGCTGGTTGGATGAGAAGCGAACGTCTTCAAAGAAAAACTAGAAAGTCCAGTTGCCTCTTGAAAAAGCACCTTTGGGACAACCATGACCTGGATGACTGAGAATCTCCATAGACATCATGTGAACTACTAATCATTGACATGCATGACATGCTTGATGGGTACACAAAATACCATTTCATGAATAACTTGCAAATGAGAAGTTATGAATTAATGATCCATAATAGGAAGGCATTTCTTCTATCTATAATACACATGTATTTACATAGGTGTAAATGTGGTTAGGACATTTATTTTTCTTCAGATCATATAAATATTTCACCTTTTTACTAAGGAATAGTATTCCTGGATTATTTTTTTATGTTGCACAGTTCAGGCCGTGGTACTTGCCTTGATAATGAACCTCCCAAGCGTGATTTTCTTTATCCTGTGGTGGCCCCAGGTCAGGTGTATGATGCTGATGAACAGTGTCGCTTCCAATATGGAGCTACATCACGGCAGTGTAAATACGGGGTAAGAGCTCTAAATCCTTATACTATATTAACTGTCCCAAGTAGTCACTTATATATATTTCATCCTGACATAAAAGTTTATTAACGCATAAAGTTTATTAACACATACTAGTTTTCTGCTAGTAATTTGATTGTGTTATTATTTCAAATAAGACACATCAGTTTTTTATGCTGCATCTTTTGCTTGAGTTGTTTGTATATATTCTATACCTAAATGTTTGAACTGAGCATTTTTCCTCAAAATCAGTTGGGTAATTGTAGAGTTCTAGCTAACTCAGAACACTCAGTTACCTGTAGAAATGCTGCTAATGATAAGGTTTAATGACAATGTTTAAATACAAACCTCAGGATACATCTTTCTTTAATATGAAACAATTTTGTATAGTAAACAGTTTTAATTATGTTATGTATTATCCTTTTTTGCTTTCTGTCATGGCATTATTATTAGTGATTGTGTGATTATCATTATTAGTTAACCACTGCAATAATTAGTTTATTGAACTCATTATTACAGTTATTATCATTGAGTTGGGTTGTGAATGTATTCCATCTCATTCTTTAATAAAAGAATTGTTTATTTTATTTATTTTCAAAATGCCATTCAAAAATTCTGAGTCTCTTCCACATGCATTAAAAACCAACAACCAAATACAGTAAGGTTATTAAAAATCATCAATGCAAAGTATTATTTTACTAATACTTAAGAACAGCTTGAAATAGCATCCAGTGGTTTTTATAAGCTAAAACATCATTTACAATGATTCTGTCACCAGTAGGTTTTAAATATGAAAATGGTATTAAAATGGCATTTTGTAGATTTGTTGCCAAGTTACATATTATTTTATATACTTTTTAAATAAAATGTTTTTTGAATGATAGTGTTTTGTCAGGTCTAAAAACTACATATAATAATTTACCTAATCATTTGCAATAATCACTTCTTTTAGAACCACAGTACAAAAGGAATTCATTTTTAATATCCCTAGGGTGATAAGTACAATATTATTCTTGGGATGAATTTTGGCAATTCATATAGCAATGGATTTAAAAGTTTTTTTGTGGTTGGCTGACTAACTGTTAGCTTTTGATTTTTCAACAAAAAGCCTGTATTGTTTCTGTTTAAGTTTCTTCTTTCTTCTTTCTTCTGCTTCTGTTTCTGTTTTTCTTCTTTTGATGTCCACATACTTTCATAAACTCTTTTCGCTTAGCTATCCCATTTTAGGTATATTTAATAATAGAAAGGTGCAGTCATTTGACTTTATTACATGAAATATCAACATGAGATATGTTTGACATTGAAAAATCAGCAGTATATATATTATCTTTTTGAAATAGACTTTTTATTAGCTTCTCAAATAGTGCATTTATCTGATTTTATCGTTGCAACAATTTTGTAGATAAGTAAGATTTTAAAATTCATAGTTGGTACAAGATCACCCAGTAATATGCATAGTGTGTGGTCTAAACTAGATTTCCCAGGTTCTAGATTGACCCTGTTAAGTATTGCACTATCTTGGCTCTGAATTCTATACCACCTTCCCTTCTTAACTAGTTTTAAACTAATAAGAGATTAAAAAATAATCCTTAACTGATGTTGGTACAAAAACAACTCACATTAGAATGGTAACTTGTCTTGATTGGATATTTGCAGGCTGATATAGTTACCTTCTTCCAAGAGATTTATAGTTTCTCTATAGTTGGATAGAAAAGATTATATTCTTTTTTGCAGAGTTTTATGTGGCAAGGACCAATGCCATTTTTCTTCAGCTTTTGTTTTCTACCTTTCTATTCAAGGTTTTCTGCCAACTGTCTGAAACGTAGAAGTAATACTTAGGATGGAGACTAGCGGTCAGTTCCTGGAGTTCTTCGTGTTTTGACATTATTCATTATTTTGAAATGACATTACATTATTTTTTAAAATGAATTGGAAAGTTTCAGCACAAAACACAATGATTAAAATTTGCACTGGAACAGCTCCCTCATAACATATCTTGCTCATCTTAAAAGGATTTAATAGCTGTTTATTTAGTTACAGTATATGCCCAATGCAAATTGCATATGTTGATATCTAAATGACTTGGTATCTAGGTATATTCCTGCCCACAAATTAAGACCAAAGATTAATTGGTACATTTAAATGTCATTGTCTCCATCTGAAATATTGCTTATATGAATAATAGAGGAGATTGTACTGGCAGTATTTTCTCAGCTATGCAATCTTCCTTGAGAAGGCATTTTCCGCTTCAGTTTCATAGTTTTTTAGTCCCAGACAAAATCTGTATTATCCATCTGATGCAATTAAAAATAAATAAACCCTTTTTGTGTACTAGAATTTACTGATGAACATTTAAACTAAATATTTACTTGCTGATTCTTTTTTCTTATAGTTATTGCTTCAGCTTCTATTTTAATTAAATGATTTTTACAAGCATATGAATTCTTAAATAAAAGAATTATGAATGAGTCAAATGAACTACGAACTTAGTTTATTTCAGAAATATAGAAATAAAAAATACTGTATCATATAACTTGCCAGGGATTGTGTTATTTAGACATAATTTCTGAGAGTAACAAGAACTTCTTCACTTCTTGTAAAATCTCCATGAAAATGTCATAGAGAACAGTTGATTGATTGCATAATCACTTTGTTTTTGTCTCTTAACAACCACATAGTTAGATTTCCCCCCCAGGAATAATAGTTGAATACATAAGGTAATTTACCTGTACTATAGTTAATATTCATGATTTCTTTTTGCTTTTTGTTGGATTACTCCATAGTGATGCAGGATTTGGAGATTTGAGGAGCAACCAGTACTTTCAGCACTGCTGCTATAACTGTTATTTACTGATTTTAAATTTCTAAAAAATAAAGACTGAAATGATATGATCTTGAGGAATGCAATTAATAACTTCAATGTAACAAAATATAAAAATAAAAAACTGTAGCCCATCTATGTTAGTATATCATTTTATTCATTAGGCCTGTTTATGCACACTTCAGAAACAAAATGAAAGAATTACTCCAGATTTTATACAAGCATTTTGCTGCTTTTTAAATGAGATGAACCTTGGCCTGATTTTGCACACGGTGCTGTTGGTTAAACAGCATCCTTTTTATAGACCTGGTAAGGTTGAAGTGTATTAATGAAAGGTAGAAAAATTGGGTTCAGAATTATCAGCTCATAACAAATGTGTTTGTTTTTGCTTGCTTTACATTTACAGACTTAAAGCTGAGATGTGAAATATATATTTTAGAACTAAGTACTTTATGCATATGGTTGACTTCTTATTGTACTTTTGACTATCTGTAAAATCTTTGCAATTAGTACTGAAGTTGACAATAGAGTTTGGGTATTTCTATTTCACAATTCTTTCATAGTACTTTTCATAGACCATTGGCAGGTTGTGTGTGTGTACCTTCATATATTATTCAGATATATATTTTTATAAACATACATTTATTTGTAGTGAAATCAGAAATACAGTCTAATCCTGTTACGATCTATAAATGTCAGATGTTTTATATATGTTTGTTATTGTTTGTAATTTCAGTACAATAGTGCCACCTAAGCAAGGGAAATTATGAAGCTTATTAATGGAGATGCATGCTATCCCTGAAAGCATTCTTCTCTACATAATTAACATGAGTAAAAATATTCTGAAAACTGCTGAATACTTCTTAGCCATTTGAGATAGATCAGGTGAGGAAACACACTCCAAAGGAACTACTATAGCTTACTTTTTATCATTGAATTGTTTATTGGAAAATTGACAAGAGTTTCCCTTTCCTTTCCTTATATACCCAAGAGAATCGAGATAGGTTAGATTTGAATTTCTTCCTCTTTCCTTTCATAGCTAAGCCAGTGGTTTTGTACTGATTGCTATATCTTTTCTTCAAAGACTTTTAATGTTTCTCTAAACTAGAGCTGATAGATAGAAGCATTCCTGGCCTCTGGATTTTAGTTTTCTTATAAAGTCCTACATGTATCAAATATTTAGAAAAGGAGAAATGATCACATAGAAATCTAGAACACAACAGTTTTATATATTTTTAATTCAATGGTCAAAAGGGAAGTTGTTATTACTTTTATTGTCAGAGTACAATATGATATCACTGGCCAATATTTCTTGCCTCAGTTGCTAAATGTAGTGAGAGCATTATGGATTTTGCATCCACAAACCCTAGTAGATAGACAGGAATGTATTCTAAAATAAAACAAAGGGTTGTATCCATTCTACCACTGAATCATTTTCATAACTAGAACAAGGAACAAAGTATTTTTAGTAATTCCCATTCTTGCTACAGCATGCTTGGTACCTTTTAAATGAATTGATAATTGATGGTGACATTATTTTCTTTGATGAAATCAGTGCTGATATCTGGGATATTGGGCCAGATTTTCAGTGGTGATATAGAATTATGAAGACCTTGTGACTCTGGACTAGGGATTTCTAGCAAGGGTCTAAGACAGAGGAAAGCCAAATGGTTCTAGAAAATAAAGGAAACATAAAAGAGAGACTCTTTCCACTGATCAATGACAAATGAGCAGCTGAGAAGTTTATATTATATTGCTACTCTGATTATTGGCTTTTGGCCAGTATAAGTTACCCAATCAATAAAGTTGAGGCCATACCCTCTGAACAAATTGTCATATGCCTTCTTTAGGTTTCCTTTGCCTCTTCCCCTACAAGTGGTATGGAGAGCCTAGATTTTTGCATTGTTTGCTTCTGGCTAGTGCTTTCAATTCCTTGGGAAAATTGTTGTCAGTTCTACATAGTTAAATAATTATAGATCCATTTTTGAAGTCTATTTCTACTAAAATTATTGTATTAATTAAAATTATGTCTTGACTTCTCTTTGATGATACCTAGTAGTTTTTCCTATTTATCTTCTATTTCCTGTCTCTAAACTTTAGGATTGCACTAAAGAATTTCAGTCTACACTACTGCTCCTCTCTTAGCTATCTTTGAAAGGACCAATCAGGTCTACTGATACACTGC